TTCGATATTATTCTATAAGGTTTCAATTTATTTTGATATGATATTGTTAAAGCTGGAGCACATCATTATTTACCGTGAACAAAATAATCAAACGCCCCCTGAAGTAAAATGAATTATTGGAAGTGCTGTGACAAGAAACATTACATGCAATAATTTTTTTTGGAGTTTACAGGCCCTTTTCTGTCGGCGGCGCATTTGTGTTCACGAAAGGAGCTTACGAGGAAGAATCTCGCTTTTCTTAAAAGATTTAGGCTTATATTGGTATGGGACTTTGAACCAAAAGAATTTAAATTAAGATTGAATACCTCCCATTGAATAAAATCGTTTACGAAGAGTTTTAATACTAACCAGGAAATAGAAAACGATCTCAGTCATTCAGGGTCAATGATTTAAACCGTTCGGTACAAAAAAGGAACAACAATTTGTAACTTCAAAAGAAAGCTTAGATTGGAAACAATATTGCATCCTTCATCACCGTGACAATTTGAAAGACAAAACAAACCGAACAGTCCGTTTAGATATCTGGACGCGCATTTTTAATGCTACCCTACTAATTTTTCTCGGGCTAAACAGAAAGAACTTCGTGCAAAGGGAGTTACAAGTGATACTCACGAGGAAGCTTTTTCCATCACATGTGCTTCTAATTTTGAATAGGATTAGACTTAGTTTTGCGCGTGTGCAAATCTTTGGCAATGATAATTTTGAATGAAAAACACTGAGATTTGTTTCTATTTTTGTAACTATTTTTTTCCCAAAAAAAAAAAAGTAGGGAAGGGTAGCCGAAAGAAAGATATCATTGTAAAACTACGCGAATGGTAGCGCTGAATAAAGTACACATTCGTTATCTTCTGTAAAGGTAATCAAGGGCGATCTATAATCGCACTCAGGTGAAGGAGGCAGTTAATTTCCGAAGAACCACTAGGAGGATGATTTTTCCTAAAAGCTCGTGATCATCACAATAAGTTAGCGCTATTAACTTTCTGAGATACGTGTATCTCATTTGATTGAATTATCAGCCTTAAATGTTCCTTCATTGGTCTAATCTTTCTGTTCGTGATTATAGGGTAAACGGACTTCCAGTTCTTTTGCGGAGACACTGGATCACAACGAAATCTCGAAAAAGGCTTTAATTTGGACAATGGAGACCTCAAATGCCATAGAGGGGGAACAAGTCTGGCAACGGTAGTCATTTTAGGAAATACTCTCCGCCTTAAATGATGCCAGCGTTCGTGTTGACATGATATTTAGACTTACCTTTCTTTGACTTCCAGAAGCTAAATCGTCTTTTCTTAGGCTTTGTCTCAAAGTTGTAAGATCTTCTTGAACTAAATCGGTGGACTTTGTGCGTGAAAAACAAGCACCAAATTGAACTCATGTTTTCGTTTTTCAACGAACCTTGTAACTATCTGTGACTGTCTGTTTCATCCAATTGAAGGTATGTGTACGTGATGGCGAGGCAACCGACTGACACAAGTGTCCCTTGGCTCTATTTAGTTAGTGAGGCAGATATAGCCAGACGTGGTATTAGCCATCACGGGGAAAATTCTCGACATTCTAGGAAGTGATACTTTGTTTAGACTTGTAAAGCGTGATCCTAATAACGTACATGAACTATGTTTAGCCTTTAATCGCATTAGCACTCTAATACAGTTGCGATCAGGTCCAATGACGTACTTTCCCCGAAATAAGACTGATAATGTTCTCTCGATACCAGTTTGCAATTTTGATACTTAATGAAGAAATATCCTTCAGCCGGAACAGTATTTATTTATAACCAAATGCGTAGTTGACTATCTGTTTGATAGTGTATTGTAAGAAAAAAATTAAAAAGATGAAGCGTGATTTGTAGGATCAGAGTTGTCGTATTCGACTGCTAAATTTTTTCACATTTTCTATAAATATTCACGCATACAAAAGGAGCCTTTGATCAGTGTTCTACATTACTTTAAGTGGTATTTGAAGAGGAGGTCAGAAATGAATAGGAACTATTTCAAAAATTATCATTTAAAAATTATTCAAATGTTTTCATAACAGGGAGCGATTTATCGATATGACTAACGTGGAAATTGCGCAAATAAATTTCTTTACGTTTTGAAATCGGAAGGACTTTAGACGTTCTTGTAGTGGTGCAAACAGAGAAATCGATATAACTAAACAAGAAACTGTGCGCGAAATAAAGAACAGTCAATGGAATTCATAATGCAAACTAGCCTAATTTACTGTTTATTTTTATATTAGAATAAATAAGTGGTCAAATCACTACCGGGAAGTTTCACAAAGGATTCTCTGCCGGTTGGAGTGATGGGGAGTTGTCTTTAGCTGGGAAAATAATTTTATCATTGACGTGCATGTTACGAGAAAATTTTGAGCATTTATGAGCGCACGTCAGAGAGAGGAGAACAGGAAAAAAAAAACATCACAATTTACCGTTTGATCTGCGCCGAGTTTAGCTGGACTTTCCTGATGAACAGATTTGAGGTTATGCTTGATAGACTTCTAATTGTAAATTACATGATGAAGGCCTGGCTTATGATCAAGGAGCGATTCCCGGTGAGACAAGGTGTGCTGTATCCATCGGATTGAAACTATTATCCATTGAGGAAAACTCTTTAATATGTCTTATTTCTGAGCTTTCGTCCAACCCATGAGATTAGCACCGTGAGAATATGAATCCTTGACGGAGCGTAAAAATCGCCTTTATTTCCAAAGGTCCAAGTCTGTGGATGTGGATGAAGATATCATTCAGTTTCACGCTACGGTTTTAATGTCTTGAACATGATTTAATAAAAATTCAGATTACTAGTAAAATCTTTGCAAAAGTCTCAATCATCTTCGAAAGTATGGAAGAACGCTCGTGCTATTTCATACTGAAAAAACGTTCGCTTCGCATTGAAGCAGACGTGAGTCATAAAACTTTTACAAACATCATAACTACAAGGAAATGTCCGTCTGTGACCTGTGTACGTCTGCGGGAGGGTATTTGTCAATATCTACCCTGTTGCAATGCTCCTTTTGCAAGAGGTCATCGGTATTGTTTATACGTGGCTGCTTAATAGGCCAGAGAGTCTGTGTAAAAAACCGCTACTTTTACGATGCACATCACCATTTTTACCTTGTAAGCGTCATGGCATGCACACCTCTGAGCTGTAAGGTCACAATCTTTGTAAGAAAAGCGTGTAAAACATTCAAACAAGAAAAGTACTTTGAACTATTTCCCCTCTTTATTTTATCCCTAGTATTTTATGGATTAATCTTTTTTTGTTTTTGTCTGACTAAGGCCACATTCAATTAACTTTCCCGGTTGGTTTTGTTATTTCTGGTGAGAAAATTGATTTGGTTTGTTTGTTTTGTCTGAAACTCGCTAATTCTTATAAAGGCGTTGTGCGGCGGCAAGTGATCCTTATGATCTCTTGGCTGCGGTTATTAATAAAAGCAACTTTAAGCTTGTCTAGCAACCACTTTGGCCTTGGTTTGCCCTTCCCGAAAACAATTCTCAGATTGTTCCGTCCGGCGTATCATGTACAGGGCATAAGGCTGAGAAACTGTTCCTCTAACATAAGCTTGTTATTGCATCGCGCAGCTGTGAATTAGATTTCTGGTTGGCGATGTTTGAATGCTTTGTTTACTTCGTGCTTGTAGTTTTCCATCGTATAGTTCAGTGAGGAAATTCAGTAAGTAAAGTATCAAATTAATGAACTCGAGGGTGGTACGAAATAGTATTAAAATATTATTAAACTAATGGCCCTCTTACAAATTAATGAAGATACTAAAATTAAAACATACATTACTAAATAATAAGAATCTCCTACAAACTATTACATCATTGATATGAGTTTGACGGGCATAGTCAAGAGAGGTTAAATTTGACCAAAATTCTCGACCTCTTTATTAAACTAGCTCTATAAGAAGTGATTTTCCAATAACTACGTCTTCTTACAAGCAATAGACTATCCCGACAACACCAGAAAAATGAAGCAACTTATCAACTTCACGTAACTGCACAAACCAGTACAAGAAAAAGTATTACAGCTATAGGGGAAAATCCCTGAGTAATACAGGGTTAAATTTCAGAGCTTTGGGGGAAAATTACTCAGTGATAGGGTTACCATTAATGACTATAAGATTCACGCGGCCCACTTCAGTATGAGAACAAAAAAAAAAAAAAAAAAAGAACAGTTATCGAGTTTTTGAAATTATATCACATAATATAAGTCACCGCAACTTGCATCTCACAAGCCCGTGAACTGATACAACCCGATTTAAGTGGTAGGATATCAGCCGGTTGATCACCAAAACAATTTTCCTACTTTAAATTATTAAGATCCAATGCGAAAATGTCAAATAATAAAAACAGACTGACAAAAATGATTTCCAGAAAACAAAATTATCGCGGTCACCCGTAGCGTGGTTCAACTGGGTTTATAAACTATTTCCAAAGCATTATTTTTATCATCAGGGGTCCTGATTATTTTTGGTTCGCTCGAATGCAAATCATAAATACACGGATTAATCTTTTTTTTAAGCAACATGCGAATCGCTTGTGATCGTAAGAAGAACTTGCAGTAACCTTTTTAAATAGCGCTGCATCGCTTTTTTTTTATTTTATCTTAAAGAATTTGTTTAAATAACAATTCTGTAACCAACTCACTTGGAAGATTCTGGTAATAAAATGAAATACAATTTGAACACATATGAATTATTAATTGCTTCAGAGCTCATGGCAGGACCGATTAATTAAAAATCAAACAGAGAGGCTAATATCGGAAAGTTTCCTCTTCAGGTTAACATGTTTAATTCCGGTCTTTACCTGGAAATCAATTACGGGAAACATAATACATCGAATAGAACTGAAAAAGATGAAATTGAAACCAAAATCTTCTTTCGTTTATTCGAGCGAGAATCTTTTGTCTTCTGATCAATGTTTATGAATAGTAAATTATATTTGGTTTCTCAACCAATCACCTTTCTATGAGTTCGGCTTAATTGTCAGCGGCCAGTGTGGTTGTTTCTTAACTCAGCTTTTGTCAGTTGTCCAAATTTGCATATGAGACAGTACTTTCTGTATTCCTCAGCGCCAAATTGAAGAGTTGTACGGGCATCTGACATAGAATCAAAATTTGTTTAACAGTCGACTGTCCGCTGCTCCGGTGAACACTTTCTCCTTCAGTGATGTAGATTTCTAATACTTTAGTATTCCTGAAACTCCAACAGCACGCGGATCAACAGCTATGATCAAACTTGATCTTTCGCCTGGGTTCGGCTACCTACCTGTATTCTGGGCGCTTTTTACATCATTTACCTTCCTGCTATGTTACACTATCGCCGTCTCGCTGAATCACATCTATCCATTCGTTCCCGCCATCAGCGATACAGGTGCACGGATTCCAGAAGCAAATCTGTTCTCGGAGTTCTTCAATTTCTCCGCGCTTCTTCTGGCTGTGAGTGTGTTTGTTCGTTACCTTCAATTCCAAATGCTGACCAAGGGCTTTGAATCGTCGGATCTTCGTCTTAGCCGGTTGAACAAGTTTGGTTTGGGCTTCGGACTTGTCAGCGCGTTTGGAGGAACGATTATCGCTAATTTTCCATCGAACGAGGTGAGTCCATTTTTCGGTGTACTTAGGCACGTGAAACTAATAATTATTTTGAATTTAGGTTTAAAAATGTCTTCTACATTCATGCGACTGTGATGCGACACTTAATGTTGTGATCGTCAATAAAGTCATTCTGTATATACTGTTGAGGATTTGAAAATACTGGACGAGACCACACGGGGAAAAATATCGCTGCCCATATCTCTGTATTATTAAATTGCACGTTTTGTGCGTACTGATTAAGAAAGTACACAAGATCATGATACTTTCTACGACAGTTCTGAAATAGCAATGTCAGTAGATTCGGTGTCAAATTGTCTTAATTTATGCAGGTCAGGTTTCGTTTGTTCACCTGTCTCATTGACAAATAGCCTGCCCACTGATTCAAAATTGTGAAAAATAAAATGAGGTTTGTATCACCATTTTCTCTCGTCATCGCAGCCAGCGCGGTTTATTTACACTAACACAACCTGGATTCATCGTTGTGTAATTTATTTTCTGTATGTTACAGAAGCGTTTTTTGGCCAATTGGGAATACTAACTCCTGTTTTCTCTTGGGAACAATTGGCTTGCGAATTGGTCTCCCAAGCAATTCACTGAAGTTCCATCTATTGATTCATTTTATCACAAATCTTAACGTTCATATAAAAGTAGAGTAGAAACTACTTTTTCAAAAAGAATATAGCTGAAATCACCTGGCAACTAGAGGATTTCCTACCACAATATTCAAATTTTTTACCTACAAATTGTGGGCGTTTATTCTTTCGAAGCCTTCCATTTTTTTCATCATGATTCCATTTAACACCCAAATTTTTGATTTTTAATGATCACTAATGGTTACCTAGAAAATGTCATTATTTCAAGTTTCTATTATCAAACGATAGCCATTCGTTATCTCATGAATCGAAACTTCCTAATAAAAACAAATGAGGCTAGGGAATTTGAATTAAAATTTCACTGTCGGCTTTAAAAACAGCAACCTGTGAGAATTTGTATTAATGGAAAGTACTTTCTTCCGTCTACTGAAATATTCAAATTATCGGTTTACGTCTGCGCAGTTCAAGTTCGAAATAAAATTGGAAAAAAAATCGTATCAAAAATGTTATTCTTTAATCATCCTTGGGCTTTCGTTGGCGTGGACGGATACTTAAGATGTATAATTATCGTTTGTTTAAAAATGCATGAATGAAAATGTATAACATATTATTACGATATCCTCTCTTATAAATTTGTTCCATAGCATTTGATCGGTTTGCCGATATATTTTTTCGAGAAAAAAAAGCAAGAACGATTTAGAAAGCATACAACTTAAACCATGGTTGCACAAAATGGGTTTCTTTTCGGATTTTGCTGATTCAAATATTTTTTCTGTACTCGTCATCATATGAAGCAAGATTTGTTTTGCAGTTTCCATTACCTATAGGATGAAATTACAAGAAGAATCTTATGAAGGACATCTCTCTTTAAATAACCAATAATCAGGTTAAAATATATATTTTATTGAATTTTTCGAAATTTTGTGATAGTCCGAAAAAGTGGCTGGACAAAACACGCTGATGGCTCTTCTTCAGGCGTTAAAAGCTTTTCAATTGTCTGACATGAATAAACCAGGAATTCTAGTCGAGATGATAAAATTGTTGATGACGACTTAACAAAACACGTGGACATCAGCCAGCAAACAATATTGAACAAACAGCTCCCGTAACCCTTAACTCCCGCTAGTGATTAACAAGTATTTTCTCCTCATAATATCCTTAAACACTCCAGCAAACAGGTAATCATGAGAACGCTCAAACTTATCAGGTTGAAGTTGTTACCTTGATCGAACACCAAATTCTCATCACTAGTTTACAAGGGAATTTGTAGCAGCTAGAGGAGAGAATTAACGATGAGATCTTGTGAGTTTAAGTGAGTGACTATAAACCAAAGCGCGAGTCTGTCGCGACTGAAAGGATTTTTTTCGAGCTACTAACTAAAGGAAAAGCGCCGTCACCCAATCTAAGTTTCCTGAGATTACGAACACGTGCCATTATTAATGGCCTTTTTTAACCGTGGAACTTTGTCTTACGAAAATGCTAATTTTCCCTACAAATTTAAAGTTGAAACCCGCGGTTGCTCATTTTTACGTCATATTGTACACTCTCTTCAGTCCCTGCTTGATCAAAAGGGCGGAGAGTCCATTGGTGTAAAACTAGCCACCAATTCTCTCCCTTCCCGCTTCAAGGTGAAGTAATTTTGACGATAGACCCCCAATGAATCTTTAAAAAAATGTTACAAAATTATTAAATTATCACTTAAATTATCGTTTGTCCTTCATTCCCCCGCTTGCTCGAAGGGTGGATAATGCTATCCACTGCCAGGATAAATCTCATATCCGGTGGATAGTGCAGCACGTTTTGTTAACAGTTATCCGCTGGATAGCGATTTATCCACCCTTTGAGGAACTGGGTCTCGGTCGACATTTTGCTTGCATAGAACTGAAATGGATAGCCGTTTATTATTATGTGATGTGCGACTTCGATTAAAACCTCTGCTCTTTAATTGACAGGAGGACTCGATGATTTACGTTCACGACACCGGTGCAGTTTTGTTGTTTGCTGGCGGAGCAGTCTACTGTTGGATTCAGACATGTCTTACTTATAAGCTTTCCCAGATAGGAATTAACACCCAATTCCTCTTCACGATCCGCTTCATCCTTTCCTGCATCATCACAGTGTTTGGTTCGCTCTTCTTCTTAGCGGAGATATTTGCCTACGAGGAGTTTCGTCAACAGTCCGAACACGTTGTGGCGAACTGGCAACCCTCGGATCCAGGCTACAGTGTGCACGTGCTCAGTAATATAAGCGAGTGGATTGCAGCACTCTGTTTTGGTCTGTTTGGAATGACATTTTTCGAGGAATTCCAAAAGATAAGCTTCCACATTGAGTGCACGCCAAAGTGCGAAGAGCCCCGACAAAGCAGTCCTTTAATGGATTATACCAATATGAGCGAGGAGGAATGATGATTTGATGACTGACCAGTAATGATAAAACTAGGGGAGATCAATTATCGAAATTTTTTGATGTGAATGCGTTTTTCCAGAATTTATGATGAAAATTTAATTTATTTTAAAATTATTTATTTATTTCAACAATTAATGGATCAAAAATTGTAAAATAATGATATACATCTACATACTATGATGTGAAGAATTCTTCTTAAGATGTTGGTATATGACTTTGAATCTCGACATGATATGGTTGTTTAAAGGGTGAAATGGTAGTCGGGTTAAAGAACAAGAGGGGGGTGGGGAAATTATAAAATTTTGCAACCCGGGATATATGAGTTGTTCCAGATTCTTTTCAGGAACTTCTGTTAACGCAATACTAAGATAAAATAACAGGATTTAAAAAACACTTCATTGCTTCCACTTTAAGTTGAATAATTGCGATAGGTGAATCAGTCATTTCAATTCGTACTCTTACAGACCGTAATGTAATTGAGTGACCCTCTATTTTCTATTTTTAGCAATTCTTATTTATCTGTTTCTCTATAAAGAAAGGGGATGAATTTCTAAAGAAACTGTGGTGCTGCGTCGGTGGGAGAGTAAAGCAGGTACTTAGTGTTAACAACTGAGTTGAAACGTAAATTGGCCACCGTAAAGAGTAAAAAAGCTGACGTTTCAAGCGTTAGCCCTTCGTCAATCTCTCAGTTGTTAACACTAAATTACCTGCTATTCTCTATAAAGGGTCTGACAGTCAAGTATAAAAAACCGGTTTATTTTTGCTAAAATGTATGCTCATTGATTTTCAACTAGCTATAAAATTTTTTTTCACTTTTCATTGTAACTTATTCAGAAAATACTTAGCCTGTATCAAACGTTTTGCACTGTCAAATGTTTTCCTTGCACAGTTACTGATGTAAGTCGCTTCGGACACTGTATTGAAGTTTCCTCTAGGCTGTATGTGCCTGCAAAAATGCATTAAAAAAGCATCAACTAGGACACTTGAACAAAGTCGTTTTGTTGCAATTTTTGTTTTGAAAAGACATTATTCATTGGCGGTGTTTGCCACGCTTATGTAATAAATGTGTCCAAACTAAGGGCACTCGCTTTCACCTTGCCCTTAGCTAGAGGGCCGCAGTCATGGGAGGAGGGAGCGTGGTTGGAGGGTTTTGGTTGTGTCGCGACAAAAGTTACCTGATTTTCCCCCCCTCCACCCCCGTAAGGCTCTTTAATATTCTCATGATTCTCCACATTGGCTATTACTTGACGGTCAATTTTCCATAGTTCTTCCTTAATCCTCTGTTGGCGACGACTGATCCCCGCTCCTGAAAACCATGTACTATCCCCCAAAATTCCTTCAACCACCCCACCCCCCTCCCCTCGCGATAAATTATGACTGGTCCCTTCATATTTTAAAAGTAACTACCCTCGCCCTCAGGGGAATGTTTGAGGAAAATACAGTGCAGCTGTGCTTGTTAATTGGAAGTGAGAACTTCACATATGGTAAAGAGCACTTTTTACCATAACCAAACTGTCGTTGACGCAACAAAAAGAACCGTCTGGGAAAAAAAAAAAAGTTTATCAGTTGATTATGAGGTAAACTATTTTGCTACTCTTCCGTTGCAAGGTGAACGTCTCTTCCAAACAGTTGCAACTTTTTTCGCATTCAAAGTGTCCCTTGAGTAGAGGCTTAGGTTGGTGTTTGTTAATATCTAGATGACAACAGGAAAATATTATTTTCATTTCTTTGGCTTGGGATCCGCTAAATTTGGAAAAGCCATGCATGACATTCATAAATCTCTGCGGTGTTGTGGGCTGCGTTCCCATAAAGAGAGGACACTGTGTACATTTCGCGAGCTTGCTCAAGATTCCCTCAGCCTCCACAGAGCAATCAGTGGACAAAAAGTTTGGTGATGTCAGGCTGTTTCAGTCTTCATGCAGTCATTTCCTGAAAATTGCCTTATACCCATAGCAAGAGGTCTGACAATTGCTCTTTTCCTGTAAATATTGCATTTTCCATCAGTTCTTTAGATATTTTAATTGCCTCGGTCGCTGTATTTCCTAAATTCTGTCATCACTGTGATTGAGGTACACCTGTTTGTGGCCAGTTTTGTCTTGAGAGGTTAAGGTGTCCCCTAAATGAAGATTGCGAATTAAAGGCTTCAGAACTCATGAATGTTTCCCTTCTACCCGAATGGAGGTGCCTCTTTAGAAATAAAGAAATTATTCCAACATCTTTAAGGGGGCCCAAATTTTGTTTGAAAAAATTTACTTGAATCTATCTAGATTTTGAATTTGTTGTTTGTTTTTGCAAAAATTTTTTTGCAGAGTCAAAAAACGGCGTTGTTTTGAAGATTGTTTTTCCGTTGCCATGGTAACCAGTTCAAAGCAACCAAATTTTCTAGGCTTAAACGTAAAAGGGAACATTCTGTTCCACGTTCCCAAGTTCCCAAAAATCCCGTAGTTCATTCCAAATGTACAAATTATTTTTTAGGCCTGGATACACAGCTACGAGGAGTTACAACTCTAGCGAAGTCGCCAGTAGTTGTAAGTTTTGATGGTTCATGGTCAAAATGAAGTTATACTGCTAACCACTGCGTTGGATTTGTTATTTCTGCTGCAACTGGCAAAGTGTTGGACCTTGAAATTATTTCAAAAACCTGTGGTATGTGCTTACAAAAGAAGTCAAGTCTGATTGAAGACCAGTTTGAACAGTGGTACCAAACTTATCATTGTGAAGGCTCTTATAAAGGCCCAAGCCCAAGTATGGAGATGGAATGTGCCAAAAGGATGTGGGGAAGAAGTGAGCAGGACTTTATCAGGTACACGTGGATGATTTCTGATGGGGACTCGAAAGCATATAATGCTATATGGAGCATTTATGGTGCCTGTGACACTTGTCACCATTATGAAAATCTTCAAAACAGTGACCAAGAGTATGTTACCTGGAAAGCATCAGAAGGTTTTGAGAAGTGGGAAGAGGATCACCTAGCTGGAACTGCAGGCTGTGACAAGGTCATGAAATTAGACTGCATTGGACACGTTCAAAAGCGGCTCTGGAAAGCACTTTATGAATTTCAAAAATCCTCAGTGAAACTGAAGGATGTAAAACCAATTTATGGAAGAAATGGAAGACTGAAAAGGCTGCAATCGAGAAACTGAAAAAGAATTATGGCAAGGCAATTCGTAACAATGTAAACAGAGAAATTACAACCACTGAAGAGAGGGACCAAGCTGTGCAGTCTATGAAAACTGAGATTCTGGATGGATTGTTCCACTGCCTGAAGCTGCCCAATGAGAAAGGCACCAGTCTTGTCAAGATTTATGACAGGCTCACAGATTCTGCCCTTCTTGCTAGATGCTAGCCTGGTTATACTCTGAGTGCTATCGAGTCCATCAACTCCCTGGTGTGGAACAAATGTCCTAAACACAAGTGGCACTGCAAAAGGAGAGTGCAGTTGGCTGCTTCTTCAGCTGCCTTATATTTCAGTGGCGGTGCTTCCACAAAGCACGCCGTCATGGAGAAGGTTGGGCTCACTGTGAGTGATAATGCCAAGATGGAAGCCAGGAGAAGGGATTCAGAGAGAGTTAAACAGGCAGAGAAGAGAGTGCAACACCAGCACAAGAAATACAGAGTTGCTAGGTGACAAGCTAAACAGCGCGATGAAGATCTGAGGATCCGTGGCGAGGGTGTAACATATGCAGCTGGGGCTTTTGGTGAAACAGAACCTTGCATGAACCCAAAAAGAAGAAAAAGACTAAGTAGAGCAGGAAATAACTTTGGGCATATTTGTTTCAAAGTTATTCTGCCAACAAACTGTGTTTTTATGTTAAAAGCCAACTTGAACCTAGATTTCCATAAATCTTTTCCTTTAAATTGCTTTTCCTGCAAATATGGATTTTTTGCGAAAATCTGGGTGCTCCCTCAAATTTCTCATGATGTATTTGCGCAAACATCACCAATTTTGCCACAAATATTTGACATGACATACTGCAAGCCTACTGAGCAAAATTCAGTTTGATTGAAAAGTATTGGAGTTTTGAGGAGTTGATCTTTACTTGGAATGAATTGGTTGTCATGGCAACATTAATGGTCGAAACCCGATTTCACTCGATAGGTTTTTAGTGCTTTTTAAGGAGATCCATGATGCTTAAAACCAGCTCAATTGGATGTATTTTGTGCTTTGAATTGGAGGGGGAACTTGGTTGAATCCCTTCTCTTGGCTTGGGGTTACTTGGAATGAATTGGTTGTCATGGCAACATTAATGATCGAAACCCGATTTCACTCGATAGGTTTTTAGTGCTTTTTAAGTAGATCCATGATGCTTAAAACCAGCTCATTGGATGTATTTTGTGCTTTGAATTGGAGGGGGCAGAAGACGGGTTTAAAAATGATAGAGTCTTTGTATTTGTTAATTATTAACTAAGAATAAACAGATCTGGTCAACTTTACTTGTTGCTTGGTACGAAGGGTCATATACTTGCCTCTTGCCAATTTTCAGCAGTTTACCATGAATGGTTACGATCCTGTGACTGTTTTAGTTATGACCTACCCTATTGGTGGATTTCAACCAGAGGGCCCCCTTTATAGATCAAAGATTTTTTAGGCTCTGAAGAGAAATGCTCCCTGTATAGAGGTGTCCAAAAGGAAAGGATCCACTGAAGATGTAAACCGTGTAAACATCCACCAAAGTCCCAAGATCTGATTCTGAAATCTCCCCTCTGACTGTTACACATTTTATTAATTATCTATACAAATTTGGTGTTGGATCTAGGTAACATCTGACACGTACACTTACAAATACACTTAACAAGACGATGCATTGTGTTTTTCTTCGCTTTAATATCACTGTAAACAACTGGTTTCTTCTCTCTCGCAAAAAGCTTCTCGCTCTCAAAATTCTCGCTCGTGGTCAAGTCCAAACTTAGAAGTAACTTATGCACGGTCCTCCCCACAAAGGAGCTGAAACTCTCGCACACAACTTCTACCTGATAAGTCTGAGTTTTCTCATTACCTGTTTGCTGAATAATGTATGTATATTATAGGGAGACGTTACATGTTAATCACATCTGGGAGTTATAGAGCTAATTAAGTCCTGTCATCTATAGCCTTAGTTTCTGACATTTTCCTTACCTTTCTCCAATGAGCCTTCACCTTTCTATCCTTAAATTGTGGACAGAAAGTCTCAATGAAAGCATAGGTCAAAATGATAAATCTAGGCAAGTGGTAACGTGTTATTGTTGTACATTTACATATAAATAATAAATAATAAATAACTTATTGTCTCTTTATCAAATCCCGCTCCGAAGCTCACCCATCCCCTCTCCTAACCCTTACGCCCGCAGTTCAGACAAATTCTTCTCTTCTTTGTAGTCTTGACTTCAACCGCTTACTTCTGTCAGTCTTTTTTAAGTTATGTATAAACGATCCACAGGCAATCAATATATCATCGTGGACGATAGAATTCTATATCAATAAAGTGAGTTTATTTGAGCTATGTCGTCAATTTTGTTGTTTGTTGCTTTGGTTTTTTTTTCTTCTTTTACGAAAAACTTTTCGATTACATTTTGCAGATTATACAAATACCACAGATGCAAGACTACACCGAAAAAGAACCGAGATGGCTTAAGATGGATAAGATTTACAAATGAATAATTTGAAAACTTCAGGTAAATCCACTGACGGTGATGAAACTCCTTTTTAAGAGAATGGATGGATTTCGGAGGCTAACCTTTTAAAAAGATTCAAACCTGATTTTTTTCCCCAGTTGCTACACATGTAGATCTTGAACTTATATTTCCATAGATTGAAGCAAAAGCGCAAATAAGTTTCAAGTGAAATCAAAAAGCTTTCATTTCACGAGTAGTGGTCAGCACAAAAGAACTCCAAACAAACTTAAGAAACTATACATGTTATAGAAAACAAACAAAAAAATGCTTATTTCTACTCTTTCGGTCTTTATGACAGATTATTGAATTCTTCGCAACGGTTGATCACATTCCCTTGGGGGCTAAATCAACCGTCATTTTAACCCTGGCTTTGTGGATAGAGTAGAGTAAGTTTTGTTTAATTTACGCCTCTTCTGTCGAGCAATATTCCCTAGGGGTTCTTTCAGAAAACGAACGCCTTCTTACGGTTTTTTCAAGTTTAAGCCTTTTCTAAGTGGACGTTGTTTAGAGTTCGCAACGAACTTCGTCCATAAATCTATGATGGCCATTATTTCTCGATGTGTTCCGTATCTTCCTCTCTTGTGGTCGCTTCTTTTAATTGTCACCGTTATAATGTCGCGTTTAATGGCTGACGCCAGCCACACTCGAGAAGCTCTGCTTAAAGCTAGTTATTCCATGGTGCAGTCAATTTTCAGTGAATTTTTGGATCTCTTGGCTCTGGTTGGAATTGTCTCGATAGTCGTTCGCTATTTACAGCTGGATCTGGCCATTCAAGATCTTACAGGAGAGTTTCGATCCCGATTTAGCCGTTTGAGGTCGGCTTCTGTTTCTTTGGGACTCGCAAGTATGCTTGGAATTACGCTAGTGAGCAATTTTCGGCAACCGAACCATCAGGTAAGTTTGCTGATTGCATGCACAACTTACTGATCAAGGTCACTGATCATAGCGTATTTTTACGCTCTGCGCCAACACCACGTCTAGAACACTTACTGAACGCCTCGGAAAGGCCTAATCAAGTAGTGCATGATTATATAAACAGTGAATAGCGAAATTTGGATTTAAACTCCGACTACTGAAGACGGCTCTCTTAATTTTTCTTGTGCCAACTTCTTCATAACCATGAAACAATTCGTAAGTTTCTCTACCTTGAAAAAGGTTGTTGCAAATATATAGTAATTCTTTGTCAACTGTTTGCATCGGATTAAACTTGATTTAGCAATCTCCTGATCCTCTTTCCCACAACTCTTATAAACCACAGTGAGTGTCAAAAGGGTTGAAGCTGTCAACGCCTTATATCGGCAAATAGGAGCAGATTATATCGCTTGATCGAGGGATGCTATTCCTTTGTCCCATCAATATGTGACTTTGAAAGAGGTTTAGTGGGAAGCTTTTTGTGTACACCTAAACGCCCCGGCCCACTCTAAAATATGTACTGTACAATCATTTTCCACCGTTGTTTCACAGAAAAAAAATTCCATCAATTTTTTTTATTTCTCACAGAAACATACCGAAGTCCCTGGTATTGTACACTACATTGGTCGAACTGTGGTTGGAATTTGTGGAATAACATATTGTTCACTCCAAACCGTTATCACCTACTACCTCATTAAACCGCAAACAAATACCGTCAAGCTTTTCGCGCTGCGCCTTGCAACATCGATTCTTCTATGCGTCAGCGGTCTCGTGCACGTGTCTATGGACGTGTGGCTTGCGGCACAACTTTTGAAAGGAACAGCCAATGCTGAAAAACAGATGCATTCTAACTTGAAGGACGAAGAAGACATCATGTTCTCTATTTATAATATCAGTGACTGGTTGACTTATGTACTTTTTGCTTTGTTTTCATCAACGTATTATGTGGAATTTTGCCGTTTGGATCGTTTGGAAATGAGCTGTTTTCAAAAACATTCTCCAGAAAAGAAGCCGACTGAATGGGTTCGGAACAATTATGCGAAACTGAAACACGAAGAGAGTGAAAATTCTGATCTAGAATAAAACTGATACAAATCGTTTGAATTCCTATCCGACTGCTAGGGAAAATAATCTCCTTTTAATCTCATGTAATACTGACAAAATCAACTAAAAGGATCAATTTGTAATAAAGTAACTATATTTGATCCTAGTCAGTAGCCGGTCTCTCTCATGGTACAGCTTTCCAGACAGACGGTCACTCCCGACAATAACAGCAACTACAACACGACTGAGTCCTTATTTACATGAACAAAGTATTGTAGAACAATTCGGAACACAACTATGGGCCTGTTTACATGGAGGTGGGGGACCCTAGGTAGGTGAGGTAACCCGCCTAGCCGTTGTCAAAAAATAAAACGCGTTTACATGCAATCTTACAACCCCGGGGTGATGGGGTGAGGTTTCTTGAGGTTGTTGTTGCGCTTGCAATCAAGGAGTTTGAGCACAGGCGTCCCAAGCTTACATCTCGAGAAAGACGAAAGATTAATTCTCGGACACATTTGTATTTATTCCTGAAAGCGTCACGCGTTTTGTTACGCGGTGTTAGGTTACGCGAGGAACCGTTGACTTAATACGTTATACGGAATAGTTTGGGAAACGAAATATGGTCGATTTACGACGCTAAATATTCCGAAATGTGAACATTTTCAACTCCTTATGTATCCGTTACGGTTTCTGGTGATTTCTGCTATGAGACGGCTAGGATATGTACAAAGTTTTAAAACATACATGTTTTTGCCATGAACGCGACCCCAGCTAGGCGGGTTACACCACCTTGAGACGTTTACATGGCAAATTGTCACCCCAGCTGACAGGGTTATCCTACCTGGTAGACTGGGCAACCCGCCTTGGCGGGTCACCCCACCTATCATGTAAACGTGATCAAGATAAAATAAGAAATTATATGAAAAGGCGGGTTACCCCACCTAGGAGGGTTACCTCACCTACCTGGGGTCCCCCACCTCCATGTAAACAGACCCCATTTTGGTAGTATCATATTTTGTTCATTATATTTGGTAATATTTCATCATGACTGCGTGACTTAAAAAAATGTTCGGCTGTAAAGTTCCATGGTATGCGTGTCAGGAAGTGACCAGACATTCTAGAAATTTAGAGAAACTTATTTTGTTAGAAATATTTTTCCAACTCTCTTTGTACCTTAAATATTCCAATATTTAGCCGCGAATTGTAGTTCACGTAGAAACATCTGTCTCCATGTCAAATTCACGACCACGATAAGAAAAACGTGACCGAAATTCTCCCAGTAAGATAAGACCGCCAAAAGGATAAGAAGACCGCCAAAAGGAATAGGAATTGATCAAATTGCTCATTATAATTTTTTTTTTACTGAATGGCTTATGGTAATATATTTGTAATAAACGTCAAATCGAGGCTTCTTCGTTGAATCGTTAATTCTCTTCGCTAATTCGCCAATTTTGCTTAATTAGCATTTACGTCATAAGCTTTAACACGTGACGAATATAGCGTTTTTAGTCACGTGATCTCATTTTAATTGGCCGCCATATTGGTGCACAAAAAATAAATGCTGACAGCGGCCTTATTTTAGTAGTTCTAGTTTTCAGCTTTACAGAGCTAGCATACGTGTTTTCGGTGAACTAAGTTTAAGTCACCCTTGGCTACTAAGACTATTAAGAGTGCAAGTGGGAACCGATATGTAAGTAAAGACTATTTCTACCCCTTTTCTGGGGTACAACTTCGAACTTATAGCTCCTACTTCCAAAAGTCGCGTTTTCAACCAACTAAATCACAAAGTACCGTTACAAGTCAAGTACTTGGCCCCGCGTGTCAGCGTCCAGTTTTTCGAAGGACCCATTTAGTTTTCTGTAGCCTTTTATCTCTTGCGATTTTATGGCCTTCAATGATTTTATAACTGCTACCGTTCATGTTATTGCTATCCTTTTAGGGCAATTTGAAAAACGTGTATTCTCTCGTCACTATTGATTTTTATATTTATTTAGAGATCATCTAGAATCATCTGTTACGCCGCAATTATGATCGGAATGTTCTCCCTTATTGGTTCGTGATTGGCGTCATCTTGTTATCTGTGGTCGTTCCATTATCTTCAATATATCATCGTTAATTACAGCTGATTTTCCCGTGAACTCTGGCCTTATTCGATCAGCATGCTCGCAAGTTCAACGCGAGTAGTTGTTGACAAGTAAACTTTGCCTCTTCAAAAGTTGCCCCGAACCTGGCGTTACAATATTATTTCCATTCCTTTTCCAACACCAGTAAAAGGGAACCCTTGAAATGTTTTTAGATGAGACATATTTCTATTTTTATCGTTTAACAATATTCAGTATGCATAACATGCAACTATTTAGCAACTAAAAGGTTCTCAATGGGGCGATGGCTCTTACGCCTGACGGCTAAGTTTTTTTGGTCGTTTTACGGCTAACAATTAAACCTATTGAGACCCTTAATTAATACTGACACCCGCGCTTGTTTTCTTTTCATCGCTTTTCATCGCTGCAGAAAAAATGGCGGTTAAAATCGTAATCGTGTATAGTTTCTTGAGCAGCGATTTAAAAATGAGAGCCAAGGCTGTCTCAGCCGGCTAGGGTTCTGTCCTGTTCAGCAATGTGTCAGTCAGGTAGATTTAGCTAACTCTCTTTGTTTCTCAGGGTTACACAGCATTTGGGTATCTCGAGATGGTACAGAAGATAATGGTCTTGGCTTAATTAATTCATCTCTGATACTTATTTTATCTTCATGATGCAATTTCAGTGATCTCTCTTCTTCTAGATGAAAACTTCAATCACAACACTTCCGATGACGGTGTTGCAGTTGACGCGGTAACCACAGGTTACGCTACGATCAACCAGTGGAATGCCCAGTGCATTTGCTTAATAACAATATTCTCTGTGCCGCAGTTAAGTGAAGCTTAGTTCAACCATGATAGTTTCATCGCGTTTAATACGTCTCATACCAGTTATCTGGCCCGTTTTGGTTTGTATTACCATCATAACTCCGTATATCATAGCCGTATCACTTGGCCATGTCTACCCTTTCTTACCAAGCATTAGCAAAGCGGCTTCATTCGAACCACAGGCGTCACTCTTTGGTGCTCTGATGACCTTGGTGGCTTTTCTTGGACTGGCAATGATGGTGGCTCGGTATGTTCAGGTTCAGGCAATTCCTGGTGACTTGGAGTGTGAATTCTCAAGTAAGATCATCAGGTTAAACAAAGTTGGTCTACGGTTTGGCATTTCGTGTCTCATAGGAGTTGTCCTGGTCGCCAGTGTCAGGTCTTCTGCCAAAGTGGTATGTATTATGGCTGAGAAAACTACAAGGATTAGGACCTTGGGCTAATAAGTCAAATTGTCGATCGACAGAAATAAGTTATTTAGGTAAAAAGGGTGTATGTTAAAAGGCTTTTATCATTTAGTTTTTCCAATTTTCGAGGAATTTTTCGTTAACCTCACTAGATCCGATCAATCGCGTGGCTTCAAAATCACTTCAAGAGTGATGATTATCCGAAGCGAAGACGCAGCTACAGAGCAAGCAATAGCTGCTGGAATGAATCAACTCTTCTCCCAATGACTAAATTCAAATAGTCCTAGATTTATTATGTTTAATAATATCAATTAATAATATCTCACCATGTTGTCTCGTGTAATGGCACGCAATCTATGAGGCGTTGTCAGGATCACAATAACCATGCAATCCGTTTTTCAATTTTAACTTCGAAACTTGTCTTTTGATTTACAATGGTTTTCGAAAACATTCTTTCCTTTGCATGTATTTTCTTATAGTAGCTTTTCCTGCATATTTACAAATGAAGGCTTTACCTCGATATTTACCGCAAAAAAATAAATTATTGCTGGGCGTTTGTTGTTGAGAAGGATACCCCCGTTAAAGTGCCAATGACACGAAATTTGTTTTGCATTTTTTGGTTGATAGCTGTATTGAAGATTAGAAATAAGCGATTTAAGCGCCTAATGAGTTCTCCTTGACCATTTTTCGTGCATTGAAAGTACGATTTGGCGGCCAAAACGATCATGTTACATCGTTGTGACGTACACAACTGTGAAGATACGTCGGCAACTATGGGGAAGAAAGGAGAAATCTAGAAGAAAGGACGAACGTATTGCGTGACCGGAGCGCCAAATGATTAATACACATATTCCGGATACTTCTCTACGCTACTTTCCAAAGGATGTCGCTATATGGCCAAATGAACGCGTTTCGATCGTCGACATCGAGGAGATTTTACTCTTCACTGAATGTCGTCGGCCTTATGCTCCGTATCGGCTCTGAAGGCGGCTGTTACGAACACATACCACTAGACAAATCAGGGGAAGATACCAAAGAATTCAGCTTAAAAGAATGCTGATTAAGGTGCCTGTTTCCACACCGTAACCGATTGTTCAACATTATTTTCGGCTGACATGTCGCAAGTGAAGAATGGTGAGCTTCTTATTATTCAGGGTTATTTCACGCGCTTGAGATGTACTCATACTCCTTGTCTTTCCACATGACTACATTTGCGCTTTTTTTATCGCATGAAAATCCTGCTAGTTGTAGTTTCCATGGTATCTTTTTACCAGAAATACATAATTTATGATAAAGTTCAAGCCCTTTCCTGAACTGGCCGATATCCTGTTGCGTGAACAGTGCGAAACCTTTGGCGGATACTGGCATAAACACAAGGTCGAAGGGACCGTGTGAAAGTTGATGCCTACGAAATATTAATTTACAATACTGATGTCAGTTATTTGCCACTGAGCGAAATGGGTCATACAGCAATGCTGCACTTAAACTAAAAAAAATTCTCTCAATTAAAATCTTTATTTGAGGTTAACTTAAATCAGACAAACTCGCTCATTTTCCGTTTGACCGGCTCGACGACGACAGCCTTTTTTTTGCATTTTTCAAGCCGTGAAATCTTCAAATTAAAGTAGCCCCTTCAATCACAGGAACGAAACTGCCCGATTACTTCTCGGCATAAAATCATCGTGCCTCGTGATGCAGCCGATTGTTTCGTCAAATGTTAGCTTGTGGTTTGCTAAGGGAATCATTCTACAGAAACGAAACTCTAGAGCAGTGACCAAGGGCAACCTTCGCCGCACTTAGTGCGAAGGAATAAAATGTTATGTCAACAAAAACGAACACAACTACCCATTCTTAACATAGGTTTTGCCATAGAAAACAAAAGACAAACGAAACAAACTTAACATTCAGTAACGGGAGATTTTTGTTCTAATCTTGACCTGAACACCGCACTCGAAAAACCGTCTAATCAGTTTGCGTAGAAATCTTCGTTTGATGCGGTTCTCCTTGGTAGGGCTGAATCGTACTCGCAACTTCCATTTCTTTTTTACAACTTGGGTACGATGTATCAAAACTCTTGGTAGGTAGGTATACATCGCTATCTGACATTATTCAAGAGTATTACAACGCTGACCGATACAAAATTACAAGAGATGCGAGAGATTTGTAAATGTCAATGGACAGTTTTCATAGTTTTCTACGTCATCACCCGCTAATTCGTTACCAGTCCATGGGACACTTTTAAGACAAAATAAGAACACTTTAAGGCCCGAAAAAAGCGAGTTTTTTGAAAATTTTTTTCTATCGGAATTGGTTTTTACGCATGATAAGCTAAATGTTTACGCAAAAAAAATTCGTTTCATAGACGCTTTAAGTCCGAATTTTGAATTGTAAATCTTTTCGATCCAAACTCAGGGCATAAATTTTCTTGATAGACCTTTATCAGATGCGATCCTTCACCAAACACGTGGCCTTGCTTCTCATGTGATCGAAATTCTCTGCTTAGGGGTTGATCAGAAATTGCTAAAAGAATTAACTTTAGATCAGAATATGCAGAGGTCACTTAGAGCCTGTTAACATGGAGATGGGGGACCCCAGGTAGGTGAGGTAACCCGCCTTGAATTATGGGATAACCGCCCGTTCATATGATCTCTTGTTTCGTCTTGATCACGTCTACATGATAGGCGAGGTAACCCACTTAGGTGGGTTGTCCGGTCTGTCGGGTAGGGTAACCCTGTCAGCTGAGGAAGCAATTTGCCAAGTAAACGTCTCAAGGGTAACCCGCCTAGTCGAGGTTGCGTTCATGTTACTCTTGCGGGGTTATAAGTTGTATGTAAACGCGGGCTATTTTCGACCACAGCTAGGTGGGTTACCTGACCAACCTGGGGTCCAGACCCTCATATATCCTTTTTCTTTCTGTGCAGGTTATCGTTCTCGCTGGTAGGAGAGAATCCGGACCTCCTCTTGGAAAACTTCATGACGCTGCTACCACGTTACTTTTTGTCAGCGGAATACCATACCTTTGGTTCCAAACCGCTATTACCTTCTTCACGGCTAAAGTGGGCCTCCATTCAAAATGTGTGTTCATCTTCAGGCTTGTCGTGTCTTGTACTATCACATGCGCTGGCATAGGATATCCTTTTTTCAAATGGTTCTCGTACACAAGGTTACAAACAGGTAGCTCCGTAGATTTCTGGAGCCCTGGTGATGGTGGCTATGCCCTGCACTTGTTTAGCACCATCGGGGAGTGGGTTGCCTGTCTGTGCTTAGCGCTCTTCCCTGCATCCTTTTACGAAGAATTTAAAACTTTTTCTCTTGAAATTCATTATGTTGAGGTTAAGGAACATACAGACAGCGAGAAAAGTGACTATGTAAAGATAGGAACAAACGACGACTAGAATGGTCATTTGTTGCAAAGTATGTGAATAATTCGTCCATTTATGCGAAGCTTCAACATCCCCTTCCCCCCCCTCGGTTGCCTTGCTGCGCAACTATGTTAGCAGCAAGCTTCTTATGAGAAGTTGGATCTTTTAGATGTGTCCATCGTTTTTTAAAAGATACGAGAGGTTGAGTGCCGTCTTTTATTGACACTTAAGTTCATTACCTAGCGAAAAAAAAGCATTCTAAACGTCTTCTTTTTTCATTAATCGAACATGTTTCATGTTTCACTTGTTAGGGTGATTTATACTTAACTTAATCAGTCGAAGTGGCCGTGTTTATAGTAACAAAACAGTTCGAGTTGAATTCTTCAAAATCACTGGCGAAGTGCGGCAAAATGAAATGAAATGAAATGAGGCTGTGTAGGCTAGATTAACCGACCTATGTATATGTTATTAAAAAACGGTAGTCTTAATTTCCTACAGTATTCGTTATCAGTCTACCTCATCATGTCGTTTTCTTGAATCTACAGCAAGTTGAAATCAGTACTATTCCATTTCCTTGGCTGGCATCTTTTTTGCAGATTATAGTGCCGAGTACTTACGAAATATGTTGCATCACCGACCGAAATTTTAGTCCAAATTTAGATCTTCCGTTGGTTATAGCATTGGTAATTTCTGCCAAAAAATAAAGAAATTAACGGGAAATCAACACCTGTACTTTAAAAACTATTTAGCCTTCCAATGAAAATCAATGAGAAAATGAACAATTCTTTTCCGCAAATTTGAAATGAGACGTCAAGGGACCAGCCTTTGCTTTTTGCCTGGGGGGCGGGGTGGAAGGATTTAAAGGGGGATCAAATGATTTTTAGGGGGAACGTGAGGGGGGGAGGGGTCAAGCGTCGCTAACAGAGTATAAAGGGGGGGCTAAAAAAAACTAATTGCTAATGAGGGGGGATCGTAAAAATGTTACAGAGCCTCACGGGAGATCACGTGCATTCGCCCTGTCACAATCAAATTCCTCCAACCTCCCCAAGCGATAAGAAAAGACAAAAGGAAAAAAAAAAAAAAAAAAAAAAAAAAGGGCTAGACCAGGCGAAAACAATTTAATCAGCTTTAAATCATATCACGGCGTTTTATATTTTTATTTGAGAGAAACACAACTATTATTATTTGGAATTATTTGTCAGCGAGCAATCGCAGCTTTGTGACTCCAAGCTGACATTTAAACACGTTCTGCTGGTTAGATTAAAATTTCAAGCAAATGCGTTATACAAATTTCGTCAAGGGGCAATGGAACCAGAGGTGAAATGACGTCTTTCTGGTTTCTTCCTTAAAACTGCCTCTTAAAAAATGCTATGAAAAACCAAAGGGATATGATCTTGTCTTAAGGAGCAGCCATTATTTATCGCCTGAGGTGGGGGGTGGGGGACCTGGGGGAGTTTGGTCATGTTTCAACAAAATATACCTGATCCCCAATAGGGACATGTAATATTCTTATGACCTCCCCACCCCGTAGTTAATTGGTAGTCATTTTGTTATATACTACCCCTTTATACTCTGTTGGGGACGACTGATCCCTCCTACGTTCCCCTGACAACTAAATGACCCCCAAAATCCTCACCTTCCCCCCTCCCTCCGCTTCCAGGCGATAAAAAAATTGACTAAATTATCGTTATGAGTGTGTATCATCTCAAATGAAAATTATTCTGGGAAAACATCGGAATTAATACTTTCAGTTTCAAACCTTCTCCCCAAAGTCACTGACTTGGATCGATACAGATTCTTCACACGAAATCTTTGTACGGTTTAAGATAGAAGGGAAGCCAAGTGAAAATAAATGCATTGAGCTCGTTTCTTTTGCTCTGATTTGATAAAATTACCACATATGCATAATTTTCCGCAATAAGTAAATCTTTTGTACAGACACACGTCATGGTATGAACCGTAGCAATATTTCTAACCAAAAGCCTCTGCAGGTTCATTAGTATTGTTAATATTTTGTTTAGGTCGAACTGTGGTTAAAATTTCCAAACCAGGCAAAGATAAACAAAACACCTGGCCCCGATTGTTCGAAGGTTGGACAACTCTATCCACTGGATAAATCTCTATACGATGGATAACGCTATACGTTTTGCTGTCACTTATCCGCTGGATAGTGATGTATCCATTGGATACATAGCGTTATCCGACCTTTATGCAACTGGGCCCTGGTCACAGGAGATAGATTATGACCTCTGCTATGATTTTATTTCTTTCTAGAAATCGAGCCACAAAATAGCATGGACAAATCTAGACCTCAAAGATCAGTTTCCTACTCCTAGAGAAGCGTTTCATCCTCGTCATGTTAGTCATGGAAATATTTTTGATGCCTCTGAGTACCTTATTTGTATTATATATTCAACTCACTATCTCTTTTTTGATTGGCCGAAAGCGTACAGTGAATTTCGAAATCAGCGCATGGGACGTCATCCAGCTGCAAATTATATAATAATCATGTCAAGGACACTCAAGGTTACGGGTAATCATGTCGTGTACGACCACGGTGCATGAGTTTGTAAGGGCAGCTATGTCAAGTTGGCCTACTTTGGGTTGCTTGCTGATGTGTATATTTTTACACGTTTGGACATCATGTTCTCTATTTATAATATCAGTGACTGGTTGACCTATGTACTTTTTGCTTTGTTTTCATCAACGTATTATGTGGAATTTCGCCGTTTGGATCGTTTGGAAATGAGCTGTTTTCAAAAACATTCTCCAGAAAAGAAGCCGACTGAACGGGTTCAGAACAATTATACGAAGCTGAAACACGAAGAGAGTGAAAACTCTGATCTAGAATAAAACTGATACAAATCGTTTGAATAATCTCATGTAATACTGACAAAATCAACTAAAAGGATCAATTTGTAATAAAGTAACTATATTTGATCCTAATCAGTCGCCGGTCTCTCTCTTGGTACAGCTTTCCAGACAGTCGGTCACTCCCGACAACAACAGCAACTACAACACGACTGAGTCCTTATTTACATTAACAAAGTATTCTAAAACATTCCGGAACACAACTATGGGCCTGTTTACATGGAGGTGGGGGACCCTAGGTAGGTGAGGTAACCCGCCTAGCCATGGTCAAAAAATAAAACGCGTTTACATGCAACCCCGGGGGTGCTGGGGTGAGGTTTCTTGAGGTTGTTGTTGCGCTTGCAATCAAGGAGTTTGAGCACAGGCGTCCCAAGCTTACATCTCGAGAAAGACGAAAGATTAACTCTCGGACACATTTGTATTTATTCCTGAAAGCGTCACGCGCTTTGTTACTTGGTGTTAGGTTACGCGAGGAACCGTTGACTTAATACGTTATACGGAATAGTTTGGGAAACGAAATATGGTCGATTTACGACGCTAAATATTCCGAAATGTGAACATTTTCCACTCCTTATGTGTCCGTTGCGGTTTCTGGTGATTTCTGCTATGAGACGGCTAGGATATGTACAAAGTTTTAAAACATACATGTTTTTGCCATGAACACGACCCCAGCTAGGCGGGTTACACCACCTTGAGACGTTTACATGGCAAATTGTCACCCCAGCTGACAGGGTTATCCTACCTGGTAGACCGGGCAACCCGCCTTGGCGGGTCACCCCACCTATCATGTAAACGTGATCAAGATAAAATAAGAAATTATATGAAAAGGTGGGTTTCCCCACCTAGGAGGGTTACCTCACCTACCTGGGGTCCCCCACCTCCATGTAAACAGACCCCATTTTGGTAGTATCATATTTTGTTCATTGCACTTGGTAATATTTCATCATGACTGCGTGACTTAAAAAAATGTTCGGCTGTAAAGTTCCATGTTATGCGTGTCAGGAAGTGACCAGACATTCTAGAAATTTAGAGAAACTTATTTTGTTAGAAATATTTTTCCAACTCTCTTTGTACCTTAAATATTCCAATATTTAGCCGCAAATTGTAGTTCACGTAGAAACATCTGTCTCCATGTCAAATTCACGACCACGATAAGAAAATCGTGACCGAAATTCTACTGTAAGATAAGACCGCCAAAAGGATAAGAAGACCACCAAAAGGATAAGAAGACCACCAAAAGGAATAGGAATTGATCAACTTGCTCATTATAATTTTTTTTACTGAATGGCGTATGGTAATATATATGTAATAAACGTCAAATCGAGGCTTCTTCGTTAAATGATCATCCTTAATTCTCTTCGCCAATTCGTCAATTTTGTTTACTTAGCAATTACATCATTAGCTTTAACACGTGACGTATATAGCGCTTTTAGTCACGTGATCTCATATTCATTGGCCGCCATATTGGTGCACAAAAAATAAATGCTGCTACCGGCCTTCTTTTAGTAGTTCTAGTTTTCAGCTTCGCAGAGCTAGCATACGTGTTTTTGGTAAACTAAGTTTAAGTCACCCTTGGCTATTAAGACTATTAAGAGTGCAAGTGGGAACCGATATGTAAGTACAGACTATTTCTACCCCTTTTCTGGGGTACGACTTCCAACTTATAGCCCCTTATTCCAAAAGTCGCGTTTTCAACCAACTAAATCACAAAGTACCGTTATAAGTCAAGTACTTGGCTCCACGTAGCAGCGCCCGGTTTTTCGAAGGACCCATTTAGTTTTTCTTTAGCCTTCTGGCATATGGTAAAATATGGACTGGACTATTTTTTGGACCATTTCTTGGACCATGTTTTGGACCATTTTTTGGACCATTTTAAAGGGGAGAAGCACACCATTAGTACTGAGGGAGGGGTGGGGTGGGATGAAGTCTATCAGTTCTGAGGGAGGGGTGGGAGGCAGTGTTCTTACCCAGGGAGGGGCGAGAGAAGGACTAATACTACGCAGGGAGGAGTGGGAGGTGGTTGTAATAATAAACACTACTGGTTCATGGAGCTTTTACTCGATCGTACAAGCTATTTTAATTGGTTTTTCGACTGAATTTTTGTATGTCTAAATTTTAGCGCTGGGCCGCGGCGTTTCTTCATTTTTTTGTCATGCAAAAGCGAAACTGCCACGGAAAGACTGGACGTTTACGATCCTCCACCGTTGAGTTATGCGTGCGCCTTTTGAGTCAACTTGTGCACCATCAGTTGCAGCCTTCTATCTCCTGCGATTTTATGGCCTTTATTGATTTTATAACTGCTATCGTTTATGTTATTGCTATCCTTTTAGGCAGGACAATTTGAAATACATGTATTCTCTCGTCACTATTGATTTTTATATTTATTTAGAGATCATCTAGAACCATCTGTTACGCCGCAATTATGATCGGAATGTTCTCCCTTATTGGTTCGTGATTGGCGTTATCTTGTTATCTGTGGTCGTTCCATTATCTTCAATATAACATCGTTAATTACAGCTAACTTCCCGTGATCTCTGGCCTTCTTCGATCAGCATGCACGCAAAGTTCAACGCGAGTAGTTGTTGACAAGTAAACTTTGGCTCTTCAAAAGTCGCCCCGAACCTGGCGTTACAATATTATTTCCATTCCTTTTCCAACACCAGTAAAAGGGAACCCTTACAATGTTTTTAGATTAGATATACTCCTATTTTTATCGTTTAACAATATTCAGCATGCATAACATGCAACTATTTAGCAATGAAAAGGGTCTCAATGGGGCGATGGCTTTCACAGCTGACGGTTCAAATTTTGGCCATTTTAGCAGATCATTTTATGGCTAACTGTTAATTTCTTTCTATTGTGGTTGACAGAAAAATTTAACAGTTAACTTTTTTTACGACTAACGTCCAAGTTTGTCAATTTTTACGCCTGACGGCTAATTTTTTTGGTCGTTTTACGGCTAACAATGAAACCTACTGAGACCCTTAATTTATAAGTTAAACGAGACTTACCTGTAAGTTGAAGTTTGACTGTAATTCTATGAGATACCAGTCACGAACTAGGGAGTCACGTGAGATATGTGCGAGTAGCCCGAGCGATCAGTCTTTAAAGGCGAATGATTGCAAACAATAATGGGTGGGAAGTAATAAGATGAATGTGCTACATAGTCACCAAGTGAAGGGGTAGGGCACGTGACTCCCTAGTTCGTGACTGGTATCTCAGAATTACAGTCAAACTTCAACTTACAGGTAAGTCTCGTTTAACTTATAAATTCTATTTCGACACCAGTCCTACTCACTAGTGAGTCACGTGAGACTTTAAAGCAGTGCAATTATGAGCAAAGAAATAAACACAAACAGGTTTATTTACCAAAACTATGTGTACAAAACAACTACTGCAATATGGCTTGTCAGTCTATGGTGCACAGAGTGCACTTCAGGAAAGAAGGCAGTAAACAGTAAGCTGCCAAGTTCCCAGATTCATTGTCATAGGGAGTCTGCCTATAATAGGCAGCAACTAAATAAACACAACAAACATGTGGTAATGAGTACTGGTTAACAGTAACAAATGTCTTGTAACAATCCTATGTGTGGAGGTTCTCCAATAGGAGTTGTCCATAAGCTTTACTTGATGTGACGATGGGTTTCCTGTAGAATCTCCCAAAGTTGTCGCATTCGACCAGCCTGCGTTATCCATGATTGTAGACAATGGAACCTTACACTTTGCAGCTGCAGATGCAGAAGCTGCCCTGGTGCTATGTCCCTTAAAGACTGAGGTATCTATTCCTGACTTTTCAAGAACCGTTTTCAGCCATCGAGAAATCGTGTCAGTTGAAACTGGCTTGTGAGGCTTTTGGAAACTCACTAGCAGCTGGTCCTCCTTTTCCTAAGGTGACTTGTCCTTTTGACATATTCAGATAAGCAGACGATAGGGCACAGACGGTTGTCTGGTGAGTAGGCTGTGAATGTTAAGTCTGACACATGCTTTCCTGGCCAAGAGGTCTTCAAAAGTTTGTTGATGATGAATACACAGCTATCGTCCTTCAATACCATATTGCTAACAGAAAGCAAATGCAGTGTCTGACACCTCTGCCCTGATAACAAAGCTAAAAGCATTGTCGTTTTGAAGGTGAGATCCTTCAAAGTTAAGCCCGGAGGTGGGTGAAGGTTTGACAAGTAAGCCAGGACAGTGTTGACATCCCAAATGTTCTTGTATTTAGGAAGGGAAGGTTTCAATTCAAACACGCCTTTGAGGAAACGACACACCATGGGGTGGGTACCAAACGACATATTTTTAGCCAATGTAACAATAGATGAGATGGCACTCCTCGCAGTGTTAATAGCACTGTATCCTATGCCAGAGTCATAGAGTTCAGCAAGAAAATTGATTCCCTCCTCTACAGGGGGACAAATGGGATCAATGCTCCTGTACTACAGTAGCGTCTCCATTTCTCAAGGTAAGTAGCATATTGCTTTCTAGTGCCTGACCGCCAGGAGTGTTCCATGACTGTGGTAGCTGTTGTCGAAAGGCCTTTGCCGTTGAGGTATCTCCGGACAAGTGACACAGAATCAGGCACAGTTTCTTGTGAAGTGGATGAGGTTCCTGTGGGCTGCTGGGTAGGAACAGAGTGTCTCTGTCCTTTGGAAGCTGTACTGGTGGTTGTATTAACATCTGCATTAACTTGGGCCACCACGGTTGAGTTGGCCATTTTGGAACAAGTAGAAGCCCTGTTGCCTTCTCCTCTTGAATCTTTTGAAGAACTCTTGTTATCAGGCTAAATGGTGGAAAAGCATAAAATAAGTAATGTTGCCAAGACATGTGAAAAGCATTGATGGCAAAAGCTTCTGGGTCTGCTCTATAAAAGACATAGGGCGTGATCTGGCAATTGATCCTAGACGCAAATAGGTCGATGTTAGGGGTAACATTGAGCTTGGTACAAGCCCTTGCAAAGAGAGTTTTCTTTAAGCACCATTCAGTACACCTCCTAAATGTACGCGACTCTTTGTCTGCCTTTACATTTTCACACCCTGGTATACGAGCCATAGTCAGCCATATATCGTGCTTAATGCACCAATCCCATATGTCTTTAGTTAGCTTGTTTAGCTTAGGGGAGTGGCTTGTACCCATCTGGTTAATAGTTGATTCAGTGGTAGTATTATCGACCATGACCTTAACATGTTTGCCATGAGTTAAAGTACTGAATGATTTTAAGGCAAAGAATACAGCTAACATTTCGAGAAAATTGATGTGCTCCTTAGCCTCTTCAACAGTCCAAAGTCCCCCAGTTGAAGAATCACTGGTTGCTGCACCCCACCCCTGTTTTGAGGCATCAGAAGTAATGGTAATATCTACTTCTCCTCGATTTATCGGGTTGGATGCAGTCTCGATTGATTCAATCCACCACTTAAGCTCTTCACCTGCTTGGCTGGATATGCACATTGTGGTATCAAAGTTCCATTTGCTAGCATTAAGAGCTATAGTTTTATCTCGTTCTAAATAGCGGTAGTGAAGGGGTCCATAGGCAACGCCAGGAAAGCTAGATACTATAAGCCCAAGGACCTTGGCTACATCCCTAATAGTAGGCTTTTTACAGTGCAACATAACAGTAGCTGCCTGTTTTAGCTTAACAGCCTTATCAGGTGTAAGGTAGACTTGCATGTTAACTGAGTCTAGAGTAAAACCCAGAAATACCAGTTTTTGAGTTGGGATGAACACCGACTTCTCAGGGTGTACCACAAATCCCAAACTGTCTAATAATTTTACCATGTCAACCACATTTTTTGCACAATCATCCCAGACTGTCCCCATCAACCAGGAGTCATCTACGTAACCTGACAATAAGTGGCCAAGCTGTCGAAGGGTGGCAAAGACTGGTTTCATTAGCTTGGTAAATTTCCTAGGGCAAAAGGCCAACCCATTGGGAAAACATGTAAACTGAAATAACATGTTGTTCCACTCAAATTTGAGGTACTTCTGGTGTGGCTTTGCAATAGGGACTGAATAGTAAGCATCTTTTAAATTGATTGACGCCATGTAACAATTTGGGGTCATGAGCCTAATTGCTGTCCAGACCGAGTCCATTTTAAAATGTTGGTATTCAACATGCTGGTTAAAGCTTTTCAAATTTAAGATCATTCGAGATGATCCATCTTTTTTATTTGTCACAAAAATAGTCGAAATATATTCTCCACTTTCATGTTGAGTGGGTACAATGACACCTTTGTCAAGCAATTTTTTAATTTCAGCTTCAATAACTAGTGAGTCACTGATGTTGAATGTTTTCCTTTTGGAAACCAAGTTTTTTGTGGGCTGTGTGGAAAATTCAATGTACTGACCCCTAACACAGTTAAGGACTTCCGAGTCGGAAGTTAGTTCTTTCCATTTACCAAGGAAATGTGTCAGTTGGCCAGCCCTGAAGCTTTGCACCTTATTCGCAAAGATATGTTTCATATTGGACTCAAACAAGACAAGATTATTTACCTGTAAATTATCAAGTGTGTCAGCGGAAATCATTGCTGCTTCTTCCCTTGGTCCTGTTGTCGGAAGAAGGGTTTTTGAAGTGGCTTCGAGTTCCAATGACGGCCTTTGGCTAAAAAAGGCTTGCTTCGCCGATCAAATTTTTGGTAGTTTCGGGAAGGGTGTCCCTTCGAGTTTTTGTGGCGATTCCCAACTGCTGTGGAGCTTACTCTGTTACAGGAACATGGGAAGCACACAGACCAGCATAATCTTTGTTCAGATGCGGTTTGAGCGACTCCCTGCGACGGTGGGACAGGTCGATATGTGCGTGCCCTAGGAGAGCGACCGCATCGGTGTTCACTTTGACAAGTTTCTGAATGTCAGAGTCTGACTTCGGCTGCTTCGAATTCTTCATTTCTAGCAGCATCCCAATGGATTTGCACATTGCAGCACCAGCTGTGGCAATCGTTTTCTGGATTGAGCTGGACCTGAGGTCCTGTTGTTTCACTGAGTGGCTCAGTTTATCCCAGATTTCAGGATTAACCCGCGGTGTTGTGAGAGTCTCACAGTTCGCCGGGCGTAAATACTTCGCCGACTTATCCTTTAGTTTCGAGTCTGGCAATTTATTAGACCACAGGTTGTTGATAGAGTCCGCCAGTTGTTTCTCAGTAACCGGACCTGAGTCGTCTGCATTGAGAAAATCCTCTGCGATTTCTGACAACAATGGGTCATTGCTGCCATCGTTTTGCTCAAGTGGAGCACGTGGTTTATCCTTGGAAATTCCGTCGGCTTCAGTGCCACAAAGGGCCTGCAAGTCTGCATCAGAGTCTTCTCCATCGTGCTCTGAACCATCGGAGGCACTCATTTCGTCTCTGGAACAGTGTTTACGCCGTTTAGGGTCGATTTGTTCGTCTGTGTGGCTGGAGTGAAGACGCTTCAGCGACTGCTGCACGGCGATCATCGAGTCTGCCATTGCTCCGAGGTTTCTGTTCACATTTTGCATCATACTAAACATGGGATCCGGGTGGACATCAGTTGGAGTCTTTTCTTTAGGGTCCGTTTCAACGGTTAAGAGTTCGTCCTCCGCCTCAGTGGAAAGTATTTGATCATGTTCGTCCGCCATAATCCAAGCACTGGAAAAATACACGACCGACCGCTCTGGAATTACGCGCGCAACTGATCACTCGGGCTACTCGCACATATCTCACGTGACTCACTAGTGGGTAGGACTGGTGTCGAAATAGAATTAATACTGACACCCGCGCTTGTTTTCTTTTGATCGCTGCAGAAAAAATGGCAGTTAAAATTGTAATCGAGTACAGTTTCTTGATCAGCGATTTAAAAATGAGAGCCAAGGTTGTCTCAGCCGGCTAGGGTTCTGTCCTATTCTGCAATGTGTCAGTCAGGTAGATTTAGCTAACTCTCTTTGTTTCTCAGGGTTACACAGCATTTAGGTATCTCGAGGTGGTACAGAAGATAATGTTCTTGGCTTAATTAATACAACTCTGATACTTATTTTATCTTCATGATGCAATTTCAGTGGTCTCTCTTCTTCTAGATTAAAACTTCAATCACAACAATTCCGGTGACAGTGTTCCAGTTAGAAAGACCTCAGCTAAGAACGAAGAAGACCTTGGGAGATCGCGCTTTATCGATGGCTGCCCCCTTTTTATGCAACAGTCTTCCTCTGCCAATTAGACAGGAAACATCAATCGACTCTTTTAAACGCTCTGTTAAAACATATTTATTTAAAAAGGCTTTTAGTTAGATTATTTATTTATTTATTTATTTTATTTTTATTTTTATTATTTTTATTATTTTAATATTGTAATGTTAATATTGTAATATTGTAATTTTACCGAGTAATTTTACTGGTTTTAATTTAGTTTTTAATAATATTGTAATGCGCTTTTGAGTATTTTTATAGAAAAAGCGCAATATAAGTATTAAATATTATCATTATTATTCCAGTTGACCGGCGGTAACCACAGGTTACGCTGCGATCAACCAGTGGAATGCTTAGTGCATTTGCTTCATAACAATATTCTCTGTGCCACAGTTAAGTGAAGCTTAGTTCAACCATGATAGTTTCATCGCGTTCAATACGTCTCATACCAGTTATCTGGCCCGTTTTGGTTTGTATAACCATCATAACTCCGTATATCATAGCCATATCACTTGGCCATGTCTACCCTTTCTTACCAAGCATTAGCAAAGCGGCTTCATTCGAACCACAGGCGTCACTCTTTGGTGCTCTGATGACCTTGGTGGCTTTCCTCGGACTGGCAATGATGGTGGCTCGGTATGTTCAGGTTCAGGCAGTTCCTAGTGATCTGGAGTGTGAATTCTCAAGTAAGATCATCAGGTTAAACAAAGTTGGTCTACGGTTTGGCATTTCGTGTCTCATAGGAGTTGTCCTGGTCGCCAGTGTCAGGTCTTCTGCCGAAGTGGTATGTATTATGGCTGATAAAACCGCAAGAATTAGGACCTTGGGCTAATAAGTCAAATTGTCGATCGACAGAAATAAGTTATTTAGGTAAAAAGGTGTATGTTAAAAGGCTTTTATCATTGAGTTTTTCCAATTTCCGAGTTATTTTTCGTTAACCTCGCTAGATCCGATCAATCGCGTGGTTTCAAAATCACTTCAATTCCGAGTGATGATTATTCGAAGCGTAGACGCAGCTACAGAGCAAGCAATAGCTGCTGGAATGAATCAACTCTTCTCCCAATGACTAAATTTAAACAGTCCTAGTATTATTATGTTTAATAACATCAATTAATAACATCTCACCATGTTGTCTCGTGTAATAGCACGTAATTTATAAGGCGTTGTTAGGATCACAATAACCATGCAATCCGTTTTTCAATTTTAACTTCGAAACTTGTCTTTTGATTTACAATGGTTTTCGAAAACATTCTTTCCTTTGCAAGTATTTTCTTATAGTAGCTTTTCCTGCACGCATATTTACAAATGAAGGCTTTACCTCGATATTGACTGCAAAAAGTAAATTATTGCTGGGCGTTTGTTGTTGAGAAGGATACCCCCGTTAAAGTGCCTGTGACACGAAATTTGTTTTTGCATTTTTTGGTTGATAGCTGTGTAATCGATTTATGCGAGTTCTCCTCGACCATTTTTTTGTGGGGAAGATAACCAAAGAATTCAGCTTAAAAGAATGCTGATTAAGGTGCCTGTTCTCACACCGCAAACGATTGTTCAACATTATTTTCGGCTGACATGTCGCAAGTGAAGAATGGTAAGCTCGTTATTATTCAGGTTTATATCACGCGCTTGAGATGTACTCATCCTCCTTGTCTTTCCACATGACTACATTTGCACTTTTCTTATCGTATGAAAATCATACTAGTTGTAGTTTCCATCGTATTTTGTTACCAGAAATACATAATTTATGATAAAGTTCGAGCCCTTTCCTGAACTGGCCGATATCCTGTTGCGTGAACAGTACGAAACCTTTGACGGATACTGGCATAAATACAAGCCCGAAGGGGCCGTGTGAAAGTCGATGCATACGAAATAATTATTTAAAATACTGATGTTAGTTGTTTGCCATTGAGCGAAGTGGGTCATATGGCAATGCTGCACTTAAACTAAAAAAGTTCTCTCTATTAAAATCTCTATTTGAGGTTAACTTGAATCAGACAAACTCGCTCATTTTCCGTTTGACCGGCTCGACGACGACAGCCTCAGCCTTTGCAATCTTTGAGGAAAGGAGCATGATTTGCATTTTTCAAGCCGTGAAATCTTTAAATTAAAGTAGCCCCTTCAATCACAGGAACGAAACTTCCCGATGACTTCTCGGCACAAAATCATCGTGCCTCGTGATGCAGCCGATTGTTTCGTCAAATGTTAGCTTGTGGTTTGCTAGGGGAATCATTCCACAGCAACGAAACTTTAGAGCAGTGACCAAGGGTAACCTTCGCCGCACTTAGTGCGAAGGAATAAAATGCTATGTCAACAAAAACGAACACAACTACCCATTCTTAACATAGATTTCGCCATAGAAAACAAAACACAAACGAAACAAACTAAACATTCGGTAACGGGAGATTTTTGTTCTAATCTTGACCTGAACACCGCACACGACCAAAACCGTCTTAGTCAGTCTTCGTTTGATGCGGTTCTCCTTCGTAGGGCTGAATCGTCCTCGCAACTTCCATTCCTTCTTTACTACTTGAGTACGATGTATCAAAACTCTTGGTAGAGCTTGCTGAAGGTAGGTATACATTGCTATCTGACATTATTCAAGAGTATTTCAACGCTGACCGATACAAAATTACAAGAGATGTGAGAGATTTGTAAATGTCAACGGAGAGTTTCATAGTTTTCTACGTCATCACCCGCTAATTCGTTTCCAGTCCTCGGGACACATTTAAGACAAAATAAGGACATTTTAAGGCCCAAAAAAAAGCGAGTTTTAAATTTTTTGAAATCTTTCTAAATGTTTAAATCTTAAGCTAAATGTTTACGCAAAAAAAAATAAAAAAAACTCGTGTCATAGACACTTTAAGTCCGAATTTTGAATTGTTAATATTTCGATCCAAACTCAGGGCATAAATTTTCTCGATGTACCTTTTTATCAGATGCGATCCTTCACCAAACACGTGGCCTTGCTTCTCATGTGATCGTAATTCTCTGCTTAGGGGTTAATCAGAACTTGCTAAAAGAATTCACTTTAGATCAGAATATGCAGAGGTCACTTAGAGCCTATTAACATGGAGATGGGGGACCCCAGGTAGGTGAGGTAATCCACCTTGATGGGGTAACCACCCATTCATGTGATCTCTTGTTTTATCTTGAACACGTCTACATGATAGGTGAGGTAACCCACTTAGGTGGGTTGTCCGGTCTGTCAGGTAGGGTAACCCTGTCAGGCGGGGTAGCAATTTGCCAAGTAAACGTCTCAAGGTTTGGTAACCCGCCTAGTCGGGGTTGCGTTCATGTTACACTTGCGAGAACGCCGCCCGGGGTTGTAAGATGTATGTTAATGCGGGCTACCTGACCAACCTGGGGTCCAGACCCTCATATATCATTTTTCTTTTTGTGCAGGTTATCTTTGTCGCTGGTAGGAGAGAGTCCGGACCTCCTCTTGAAAAACTTCATGACGCTGCTACCGTGTTCCTTCTTGTCAGCGCAATACCATACCTTTGGTTCCAAACCGCTATTACCTTCTTCACGGTTAAAATGGGCCTCCATTCAAAATGGGTGTTCATTTTCAGGCTCGTCGTGTCTTGTACTATGACATGCACTGGCATAGGATATCCTTTCTTCTATTGGTTCTCGACAACAAAGTTACAAACAGGTAGCTCCGAAGCTTTCTGGAGCCCTGATGACGGTGGTTATGCCCTGCACTTGTTTAGCACTATCGGAGAGTGGGTTGCCTGTCTGTGCTTAGCGCTCTTCCCTGCATCCTTTTACCAAGAATTTAAAACTTTTTCTCTTGAAATTTATCACGTTAAAGTTAAGGAACTTACAGACAGCAAGAAAAGTGACTATGTAAAGATAGGAACAAACGACGACTAGGATGGTCATTTGTTGCAAAGTATGTGAATAATACGTCCATTTATGCGAAGCTTCAACATCCCCACCCTCCCCCCCCTCGGTTGCCTTGCTGCGTAACTATGTTAGCAGCAAGCTTCTGATGACAAGTTGGATCTATTAGATGTGTCCATCGTTTTTTAAAAGATACGAGAGGTCGAGCGCCGTCTTTTATTGACACATAAGTTCATTACCTAGCTAAAAAAAAAGTATTCTAAATGTCTTCTTTTTTCATTAATCGCACATGTTTCATGTGTCACTTATGTAGGGCGGTTTATACTTAACTTAATCAGCCGAAGTTGCCGTGTTTATAATGATAAAACAGTTCGAGTTGAATTCTTCAAAATCTCTTGCGAAGTGCGGCAAAATGAAATGAAATGAAATGATGCTGTGTTGGCTAGATTAACCGACCTATGTAATATGTTATTAAAAAATGGTAGTCTTAATTTCCTACAGTATTCGTTATCAGTCTCCCTCATCGTGTCGTTTTCTTGAATCTACAGCAAGTTGAAATCAGTACTATTCCATTTCCTTGGCTGGCATCTTTTTTGCAGATTATAGTGCCGAGTAATTACAAAATATGTTGCATGACCGACCGAAATTTTTGTCCAAATTTAGATCTTCCGTTGGTTATACCATTTGTAATTTCTGCCAAAAAATAAAGAAATTAACGGGAAATCAACACCTGTACTTTAAAAACTATTTTAGCCTTCCAATGAAAATCGATGAGAGAATGAACAATTCTTTTCCGCAAATTTGAACTGAGACGTCACATATCATGTTGCAACTGACCTGTGTTGGTAAGGGACCAGTCTTTGCTTTTTACCTGGGGAGCGGGGTCGAAGGATTTAAAGGGGGATCACATGATTTTTAGGGGGAACGTAAGGGGGGGGGGTCAAGCGTCGCTAACAGAGTATAAAAGGGAGGAGGGGAGGAGCTGCAGAAAATTAATTGCTAACGAGGGGGGTCGTAAAAATGTTACAGAGCCTCATGGGAGATCACGTGCATTCGCCCAGTCACAATCAAATTCCTCCAACCTCCCCAAGCGATAAGAAAAGACAAAAGAAAAAAAAAAAAAGAGTTAGACCAGGCGAAAACAATTTTATCAGCTTTAAATCATATCACGGCGTTTTTTTTTTATTTGAGAGAAACATAACTACTATTATTTGGAATTATTTGTCAGCGGGCAATCGCAGCTTTGTGACTCCAAGCTGGCATCTAAACACGTTCTGCTGGTTAGATTAAAACTTCAAACAAGTGTGTGATACAAATTTCGTCAAAGGGCAATAGAACCAGTGGTGAAATCACGTCTCTCTTTCTGGTATTGTACACTTCATTAGTCGAACTGTGGTTGGAATTTGTGGAATAACATATTGTTCACTCCAAACCGTTATCACCTACTACCTCATTAAACCACAAACAAATACCGTCAAGCTTTCCGCGCTTCGCCTCGCAACATCGATTCTTCTATGCGTCAGCGGTCTCATGCACGTGTCTATGGACGTGTGGCTTGCGGCACAACTTTTGAAAGGAACCGCCAATGCTAAAAACCGATGCATTCTAACTTGAAGGACGAAGAAGACATCATGTTCTCTATTTATAATATCAGTGACTGGTTGACTTATGTACTTTTTGCTTTGTTTTCATCAACATATTATGTGGAATTTCGCCGTTTGGATCGTTTGGAAATGAGCTGTTTTCAAAAACATTCTCCAGAAAAGAAGCCGACTGAACGGGTTCAGAACAATTATACGAAACTGAAACACGAAAGAGAGTGAAAACTCTGATCTAGAATAAAACTGATACAAATCGTTTGAACTCCTATCCGACTGCTATGGAAAATAATCTCCTTTTAATCCCACGTAATACTGACAAAATCAACTAAAAAGATCGATTTGTAATGAAGTAAGTATATTTGATCCTAATCAGTAACCGGTCTCTCTCTTGGTACAGCTTTCCAGACAATCGGTCACACCCGACAACAACAGCAACTACTACACGACTGAGCCTTTATTTACATTTACAAAGTAGTCTAGAACATTCCGGAAAACAACTATGGGCCTGTTTACATGGAGATGGGGGACCCCAGGTAGGTGAGGTAACCCGCCTGGCCGTGGTCAAAAAATAAAACGCGTTTACATGCAATCTTACAACCCCGGGGTGCTGGGGTGAGGTTTCTTGAGGTTGTTGTTGCGTTTGCAATTAAGGACTTTGAGCACAGGCGTCCCAAGCTCACATCTGTCTCCATGCCAAATTCACAACCACAATAAGAAAAACGTGACCGAAATTCTACTGTAAGATAAGACCGCCAAAAGGATAAGAGGACCGCCAAAAGGAATAGGAATTGATCAACTTGCTCATTATAATTTTTTTTACTGAATGGCTTATGGTAATATATTTGTAATAAACGTCAAATCGAGGCTTCTTCGTTGAATGATTATCCTTAATTCTCTTCGCCAATTCGTCAATTTTGTTTACTTAGCAATTACGTCATAAGCTTTAACACGTGAACGTATGCTGATAGCGGCCTTCTTTTAGTAGTTCTAGTTTTCAGCTTTACAGAGCTAGCCTACGTGTTTTGGTAAACTAAGGGCGCGTTCCTTTGGGAGGATCCAGGTTAGGATTTATGATCCAAGATCACACAGATCACGGTGCATGAAAAGAAAGGAGTTTTAGACGAGCTCTCAGAGAATTCCAAAAAGCGCGCTATTTTAAGGGCTTGTTTACATGGAGGTGGGGGACCTCAGGTAGGTCACGGAGGTAACCCGCCTAGCCGTGGTCGAAGAATAAAACGTGTTTACATGCAATTTTACAACCCCGGGGTGCTGGGGTGAGGTTTCTTGAGATTGTTATTGCGCTTGCAAGGAGTTTGAGCAGAGTCGTCCCAAGCTCACATGTCGAAAAAGACGAAAGATGAATTCTCGGACACATTCACGTATTTATTCATGAAAGCGTCACACGTTGTGTTACGCGGTGTTTGGTTTCGCGAGGAACCGTTGACTTAATAAGTTATAAGGAATAGTTTGGGAAACCAAATATGGTCGATTTACAACGCTAAATATTCCGAAATGTGAACATTTTACACTCCTTGTGTGTCCGTTGCGGTTTCTGGTGATTTCTGCCATGAGACGGTTAAGAAATGTACAAAGTTTTAAAACATAAATGTTTCGCTTTTTAGCTTTTTGCCATGAACGCGACCCTGACTAGGCGGGTTACCCCACCTTGACACGTTTACATGGCAAATTGTCACCCCGGCTGACCGGGTTACCCTACCTGGCAGACCGGGCAACCCGCCTAGGCGGGTCACTCCATCTATGATTTAAACGTGATCAAAATAAAATAAGAAATTATATGGACAGGCGGGTTACCCCACCTAGGCGGGTTGACTCACCTACCTATACCTGGGGTCCCCCACCTCCATGTAAACAGGCCCTAAGACTTGTGAATGCACGTGGGTTATTGAGCTCTTCCCTGAATGGCTCGTCTAACTGCACGGACTTTTAGCGCGCAATTTTTTTTTCTAATTAGCACTATTCATTAGAAGCACATTTTTTCACGACAAACTCAAACGATGGAATTAAAATAGAAGCAAGTATTGATTACGATATGGATACTTGGGAACCCTGAATGTTTGCGATCAGTGGCCGATCGATTTAACATCAATCATCATCAAAAATCAATTTTATTTTGTGTTTATCGCAGAATTTGTGGAGCGATTGTCAACAATCTTTCCGGTCAATATACGAAGTACCTACCTGTTTGAAATTGAGCACCGGTGGGCAAAATGATTAATTTCGGATCCTTCGCCCAAAGGGACGCGTTGGATCAATTATCCAATGATCCGTCTTTAGATCACACAAATCGGTGATCCGATGAATCCTTGTCCAGAGTGGATTTGATAGATCACTGATCTGAAAATGGATGTGCTCGAAAGGAACGTCACAGATCAGAAATCCTGATCCGGATTCTCCCAAAGGATCTGTTGTCGTTTCTATCTTCTATCTCCTGCGATTTTATGGCCTTTAATGATTTTATAACTGTTATCGTTTAGGTTATTACTATCGCTTCAGGACAATTTGAAATACATGTATTCTCTCGTTATTACTGATTTTTATATGTCTTTAGAGATCACCTAGAAACATCTGTTACGCCGCAATTATGCTCGGAATGTTCTCCCTTATTGGTTTGTGATTGGCGTTATCTTGTTATCTGTGGTTATTCCATTACCTTCAATATATCATCGTTAATTACAGCTGGTTTCCCGTGATCTCTGGCCTTCTTCGGTCAGCATGCACGCAAAGTTCAACGCGAGTAGTTGTTGACAAGTAAACTTTGGCTCTTCAAAAGTCGCCCCGAACCTGGCGTTACAATGTTATTTCCATTCCTTTTCCAACACCAGTAAAAGGGAACCCTTACAATGTTTTTAGTTTCGATATATTTCTATTTTTATCGTTGAGCAATATTCAGTATGCATAACATGCAACTTTTTAGCAACTTAAAGGGTCTCCATGGGGCGATGGCTTCATCTTATGCCTGACGGCTAAGTTTTTTTGGTCGTTTTACGGCTAACAATTAAACCTACTGAGACCCTTAATTAATACTGACACCCGCGCTTGTTTTCTTTTCATCACTGCAGAAAAAATGGCGGTTAAAATTGTAATCGTGTATAGTTTCTTGAACAGCGATTTAAAAATGAGAGCCAAGGTTGTCTCAGCCGACTAGGGTTCTGTCCTGTTCTGCAATGGGAAAAGTTTCCGCACAGCCCCATACTTCATTATGCATGCATATCTTATTAATTATGCATTCTACTCTTTGTCTTTGAATACAATAGACAATTCCCTTGGTAATTGAATATATACATCCCTAATTATTACTTACTGCATTAGCAAAAGTGGATTTTTTTCCGCGTTGTTTTTCCCTCTCTCTCTCTCCATATTCCCCTCTTTCTCTTCCCCATTTCTCTGGCGGGCACTTCCTACTATCTATCCTTCCTTCAAGGCCCCTCTCATGAGCTTATGATTGCCTACCGGACGAGGGCTACATTCATCTCACA